ACGAAGCGATCGTAGCGAAACGTTGCGAATTGTGTTTAATAGATTTTAACATTTTTCGATGGCGCGTGAGTAAAAACACATTTAATCATTCGTATTCTTATATTACCCTCTGTTCAACTACTTATCTCACAAATTTTCTAGAACGAGTGTGTCAAGTGCATGAAAATTGGTAATGCACCACTTTGAATTGGATTTTTGATAATTAGTACGTGACCTTTTACTAAAAACTTTCCATCTTTTTCTAGTGTGCACCGGCTGTCTCACAAAAAAGCCAATCGATTTTACGTCACTCCCAGAGGAATTCGTATTGTCGTTGATATCAGATACGTCACAAAACAAATTCAATCGACGTTTTAGCGCCACTAACTGCTTTCGTCTATGCGATTTTTGTTATTTGGGTAAGAATTCTTTGAACGATTTTTACACATTTACAAGATTTACTAATTATCTTTTGAAAATGAAGATATTGATCCAGATCGCGTGATGCATAATGAAGAGCATGACGGCGGATTCTCTATTAACTATAAATCATCACCGTCCTCATCTCCAAAGAGCTCTAGCTTAATCTATAATCATGATGAGATTGATGCGGTGGAAATATGATACACTTACGTAAATTTCCTATTTTGATTTTGATTTGAAGTTGTGGACATTTAAAAAAATTTTTTTTTTTTTTTGTATATTATTACTACTGTATTTAAGTCATTTATCGATGTATCATATCTATTAATTATTTCTGTATTATAGCTTACACATCCTTTTAAAAAATGTATATTGGTATTTTTCCTATCTTACATTTTATGCCTTATTGTATATGTTTAAATATTTCTTAATTAATGATAGAGTAAGCAAAGTTGCTGGTTTTCACATGTATCCTTAATTATTTTATCATACAGTTTAATTCTATTAATTCCATTGTAATCATTATAATAAAGATATATAGATAAGCGATCCAACCAAAGGCAGCATATAAACAATAAAGTACGCGATCGTTAATGATGACGTCTTGATCTGCGAATCAGCCCACGTGCATATTTCCATTCTGAAAGTACCCAGAAGAGTAGGCGTCATCAATCAATCAATCATCATTCATTATTCGAGATACAGTATTATATAAAATTATATGGTAAGACTTCAGTATTTAAGGTTCAAATAAAAAATTTAAAAAGATATATTTAACAAAAAAAAAAAAAGAAACTGAAAATTCAATTCCGTCGCCAAGAAAAAGTGATCTGAATTGAAAGATGTTAAACCAATTATATCTTGGATCAACAAAAGATATACTCGACTTGGTTACCAGAGGAAATAACTGGATACCGTATACAGTAAAATTAGTTTGGAAATTTTATTTATTTGTTTATTTGAAAACGATATACTGTAAATCTTGTAATGTAATATAACATCCAGTACATAAAAAATAGAAGTAACACTGATTTTACAATACAAACAATAGATTTTGAAAAACTTTTGAAAAAAATTTCTCTTAAAGTCCATAGGAATAATAAATATGAATAAAAATGATAATAATACTTATGGAATTTATAATTATTAAAATAATAAGATACTCCAATACGTATACAATATCTAAAATTGATTTTCGTAATAACGAATAAAATTAATATTATGATTATAAAATATAAAATTAATACTCAAAAAAAAAAAATTGAAATTATTATTTAATAAATAATAGCAATTCTATTATTAAGCACGAGTAATCATAAGAAAATTTTAAAAACAAAAAAATTTTTTTAATATAAAATAAATATCAATCATAAAATATAAAGTTTAATTATTAAAACGTGTAATATCAAATTAATTAATTATTTAGAAATTATTTAAAATAAAAAATTATTTTATTTTAATTATATACTGTAATTAAAAATATTAATTTGATTTTATTTTATTGGATTTTTTTTAAAA